AATATCGTTAAAGCAGTTATTGATCGTGACTGGATGTAGGCTGTTAGGACGAAATATTGCTAGTTGCAATCTCAGATAACCTACAAGAAAAAAGGAACGAATACAGAATAATATTTACAACAAATTTCAGTGGAGGTGGAATACAGACGAAAACAATCGAAGAACTACTATGCTCTCCCTCCTTAGAGGGTGGGCATCAATCAGCATCAGTTTCAAACCTGAGGCATCCCATAGCTGCAAATTTCTGACGCATTTTAAATAATTAAACACTAGTGAGGAAGTCTTAACTTAACTTAAAGGAAGGTTTCAATTATCATCGTTCGGTGAGTCCTGTGTGGACAAAATATTACTCGTTGCAAGAACAGAGGAAACGAATGCAGAATCATGTCGACAACAAATTTCAGTAGAGGTGGAACACAGACGACAGCAACTGAAGAACTGCTATGCTCCCCCTTTTTGGTGGGTGGACTTCAATCAGCATTAGTTTCTTTCGCAGCAGTTGACATTCTCCTCTCCATCACAACATTTCTTGGGAATTCTCTTGTCCTTGTTGCCCTTAACAAAGAATCTTCCCTCCACCCACCGTCCAAGCTCTTGTATCGTTGTCTGGCAACAACTGACCTGTTGGTTGGTCTTGTTGCTCAGCCTCTCCGTGTTACTTATTGGATGTCGGTGGTTCACGAACATTGGAGTCTTTGTCATTACGCAGGGGAAGCAGCCTACATCACAGGCGCAGCATTATGTGGAGTTTCTTTGCTGACGATGGCGGCAATAAGCGTGGACAGACTTCTTGCCCTGTTGTTGGGGCTGAGATACAAAGAGATGGTAACTTTGAAGCGCATTTATATCATTATAGCTAGCTTTTGGGTTTTATGTCTTGTCGCCTCTTTATGCACCATTTTCGATCAGCGAATAACCGCTTTGTATGCCTTGATATTGATACCACTTTCACTGTTTATTTCACTCGCCTCGTGCACAAAGATTTTTCGCACTCTCAGACATCATCAGGCACAAGTACAAGATCATATTCAACAACAGCCGAGCCAACCAAATGCACTGAACATGGCGCGATACAGAAAGGCAGTGTACAGTGCACTGTGGGTAGAGTTAGCATTAGTTGTTTGCTATACACCATGCTATATAGTGGGAACTGTATTCATTTACAGCACAAAATACTCATCACACATATTCTTCACATTGCAAATCGCAACCATCTTTGTTTACTTTAACTCGACGTTAAACCCGTTTCTTTACTGCTGGAAGATAAGTGAAGTGAGACAAGGAATGAAGCTGACAATCAGACAAGTACTTTGCTGTCCATGGAGTTAGACCATCCTCGAGTTAAACATGATCGTATAAGTACTTTTAGTGCAAAGCTGACCAATAGAGAACGTATGGCACTTAAATTCTCGGGCTTGTTCGAGGTCTGTCGATAATATATTTTGCTAGTCACGTAAAACAAATAAATGGAAGGCAATGGAGACACAAACCAAAACTTTTAAAAATTATTTTACATGCTACTAAACTTTATTTTGAATGCATCAATTATTAATCGAAAGAAAGATGAACGTGCACAAGAGAATATGTAATCTCTTATAATCTCTTGACGTAAATTATACTCATGAATGTTATTGTAAGAAAGCGAAACAAATAATGGCTTTATCCACCTGTTTGGTAGATGAGTCGCATCAACCAACAATTTCTTTCTGTGCTGTGTACATTGTCCCCATCTCGTGGCAACTCTCTTGTCGTTGTTATAAACAGTTGTAAACTTGAATTTGTTTTTTCATTAGAAAAATATCCATATTGCTTATGAATGTTTGAACATTTTATAATGATATAATAAAACAAACATTGTGTAAGTGGGTGCATGGATTTAAATAAACACTTACCTTCTCTTATCAAATTCTTTTCAAAACCCCTAATTTTCCGAGATTAAACGTAAGATTCCATCTTCTCCGCTCAGCTAAAGGTGAATTTCTACGTACCTGAGAAGACGGCGTTTAAAATAATTGTGAAATACCAATAGTATCAAAGATGTCTGTGCGTTTGACTCATATAACTAACTAACCCATTTTGGTCACGTTTCCGAATGAACTTTCATCGATAGGGAGCTAATCAAATGTCCATATCATCTGTGTGAGATTAATACTTCAATCATTATCAGCCTCGACAAACTGAAATTACGAAGATCAAGCTGGCAACTTTGAATGATGTAAGAAAAAATTGGATTCGTGACATCTCCTTATGTATCAAACTATTAAATGTAAATTAATTCAAAGATTGAAAAGAAGCTTGAATCTGAAGGATTGTTTAACGCATTTTTATTAAAAAAAACTGATATTATAGATGTCTCTATTTTCTTCCTTTTATTGCTAGTTTCTCCGTGAGCCACCAAACAGGTTCCAACGGCCGATTAGCTAAAAAAAAAAGGATTGTTTTTCGCTTTGTGAAAAAATGATATCACAGATGTCTCTCTATTTGCCTCTTACTGCTATTTCATACAAGAGGCTCGTCACGGGTTTCGGAAAAAAGAAATCAACTGTTTGGCACAACAGACAATTTGCTCACGCACTTTGAATGAGCAAACGCTAATGAGGAAGTATTTATGTGTTTATTGAAGGAGGTATCAGTCATCGTCGCTCGGCGTATGCTGTTTAAACGAAATACCTTTCGTTGCCAGTTCCCTCAGTGCAAAAAAAAAGGAAATGAACACAGAACAATGTCGGCAACAAAGTTCACTAGCGGTGGAGCACAGACTAAAACATTTGGAGAACTGCTATGCGCCCCATCTTCTGGAGGTGGATTACATCAAAGATTTACTTTTTTTTTCAGCAGTGCACATTCTCCTCTCCATGAGAGCATTTTTTATGAATTCTCTCATCCTTGTTGCCCTTCACAAGGAATCTTCCCTCCGCCCGCCGTCTCTTTTCGCGGACAAGACGTAGGCAGAGAAAAAATTTCATAACAAAGGTATAATAGGCTAACTTTGGTTTACAATTTTTCCAGGACAATAACTAAAAGGTTTTCAGCGAAAGGAGGAGAACAAATACAGAATGTGTTCAAAAATTGTTTCGACACGTAATTTCTTGATTTTGTCTTGTGTTCAAAAAGAAGAGTCATTCCTGTGGGAAAAAGCTCAGTTGGATGATTTTAATGGAAAGGTCTTGACCAATGTCAACTTCAAAAACTTGACTGAACATCTGGGATTTCGTGGTCGTCAAGAACACTACGACGCATGCGTGGAAGACGTAATCATAAGACAGCGAGAAGATGGAACTGAAGTTGTTGAGTTCCGGGAAGGTCTCACTAAAACACGGAGCGGTGGTCTCACCATCAGGCGAAGAACAACACCACAAGCAATGTTCAGCACCGATGGCGGAAAAGGCGATCCAGTGAGGCTATTCAAGCTTTGGTTGTCCAAGCGACCCGAAGGAATGAAGAACACAGGGCCACTCTATCTAAGCATCATAAATCGTCCTAAATCAGTAGATGTTTGGTACACCAAAGTTCTAATGAGGCAAAACATCATCAGCAACATAATGAAATCCATGGCCTCTTGTCTCAGGACGAATAAGAAGCTGACCAACCACAGCATGAGGAAAACACTGGTGTCAAAACTGAAGAAGTCTGGTCAACCGCGCAATGTCACCTGTGAAATAACAGGCCATGCACGTTAATCTTCGTTATAGGACTACGATGAAATAGACGAGAATCACAGGAAAAAAAAACTGTCTCACATTATCAGTGGATATAAAGAAGTGTCAAACGAAAATCAAACAAACGAAGTCTCCCACCAAAACACTGCAAATGAAGCCTCAAATCAAGAGATTGCAGTCCAACATAGACGAATTCCTCTGGTTCCTATTTATCACGTCCAACAACAAGGCCAAATGCAACAGGCCATGGGCTCCAATCCTGGTTTTCAGCCAGCTGAATTTTCAGGATTTCCTCCACATTTTCCATTGCTCAGCACCGCATGAAGGCCTCAGCACCGCATGGAGGCCTTCATTTGTGCTGCTCCCGTTCCATCGCAGAATTACACAAGCTGCACCTTCAATTACTTCTCCAAAGACAGCGAGAATTCTCCACCCCAACCACAAAAGAAAAGAAGGGTTTACGATAATAAGTCAGACGACGAGGATTGAACTTTAAAGCTTACCTGTTTATCTGACTTATTGAGGACTTCTTGAATTTCTCGGATGAAACTTGTCTTTCCTTTGATACGCTTGACTGGGTTTTTGACACATGACGTCAAAGTCTTTCTGTCTTGCATACAAAATGAGTTGTAAAAGCGTTTCCGGTTCCGCTTTTTAATTACAAACCGGCTCAGTACTGCACCAATTAAATATTTGAACTGACCAAGTCCTGTATCGAACGAGCGCTGCGCTCGTTCGATTTTGAAATCACGCGTGTGATTTTAGCCCAAATTGCACTCCACTCACTTCAATTACCCTTATTAACTTAACGCAAAAGATATGGACCCTTGATTAGCATCCTATTATGATGGAATTTGATTCTGGTAAAGAAGGACTCTTTGCTGCACTGTAAAAACACTGAAATAACATATGTTTCTACATTTGCCTGTCAGAGAATTTCCTGATGCATTTTAGATAAGTAAGTCTCATGCGACTGTTAGTTGGGAACTCAGGCTTTAGAAATCCTTACTGCCATTTTTCGTTGTAAGAAGAGAAACCTACAAGAAAAGGGAAAAGCCGAAGACAGATATATGTCGACAACAAATTTCAGTAGCGGTAGAAGTCACACGAAATCATTTGAAGAACTGCTATGCTCTCCCTCTTTAGTGGGTGGGCTTCAACAACAACTATCAATTTGTTTCTTAGCGGTTGACATTCTTCTCTTCATCGCAGCATTTGCCGGAAATTCTCTTATCCTTGTGGCCCTTCACAAGGTATCTTCCTTGCATCCGCCGTCCAAACTCCTGTATCGTTGTCTGGCAACCACTGATCTGTTGGTTGGTCTTGTTGCTCAGCCTCTCAATGCTTTATGTTGGATGTCCGTGGTTCACGAACAGTGGAGTCTTTGTCGATACGCAAGGGACGCAGGCTACATCACAAGGTATGTATTGATTTAAGTGTCTTTGATGACGATGACGGCCATAAGCGTGGACAGACTTCTCGCCCTGTTGTTGGGACTGAGATACAAACAAATTGTAACTTTGAAGCGCACGTATATTATTGTAACTACCTTTTGGGTTTTTACTCTTGTCGCCTCTTTAAGTGCAATTTTTTATCTCCTTACAATCTTTTTGTACAGCTGACTAGTTATATCATTTTGCCTGGTAATATCATTCGCATCGTACACAAAGATTTTTTGCACTCTCAGATATCATCAAGCACAAGTAGGAGATCAACAACGGACGAGCCAAACAAATGCACTGAACATGGCGCGATTCAGAAAGGCAGTATACAGTGCACTGTGGGTGCAGTTAGCATTAGTTGTTTGTTATGCACCAATGTATACAGTGACAATTGTGATCGCTTATACTAAAAAATATTCATTACTCTTAGTGGTCACATGGAAAGTAGCAGTTATTTTACTTTACTTTAACTCGACGTTAAACCCGTTCCTATACTGCTGGAAGATGAGTGAGGTGAGACGATCAGTGAAGCAGACAATTAAAGAAGCACTTTGCTGAGTTAGGTCTTCCTCGGGTTGTTCTTCAGACTTTCAAAGCAGACTTATTAAGTCACGATTACTGGATAAAAAGAAATAAGTCGCTCAATAGAATAGTTGCGCAAGCTGTTGTCAATAGTCTTTATATCTCTGAGAACAATTTAACGACAGACTAGGTAACCGTAGCTATGTGTTTTCAAAAATATGGTTTCTTGTCGCTATGCTAAAATACAAGATGTCATAATCGAAGAGAAGATATGCAAACATTTTAATTTCATGTTTTCTCCTCTTAGCAATATGAAGACATCGGATAAAACTTCAAAGAGTAGTTTAAGATATGTGTTTGAGGCCGATGTTGAGTGTTACGAGAAAACTATTTCAAATAGTTTTCCTATATTTAAAAGAAAGCGCCTGACGTTGATGTTGATGTTGATGTTGATGTTTGGCCATATTGCCAAAAGAGACGGTCCAGTTTTAGTCTTGAATTTGTTTTGTCATCAGAAAAATATCCATAAAGCTTATGTGAAGAAGTATTCGGTACTTGTATATTTAACTAAAGGTTACGAAGGTATACGAAATAAAATTGACCATCTCTGTTTGTTACAGAATTTTTTTACGGATCGATCGATGTTCTGAAATTATATTAGCAACGGCGAGGAACAAGTACCGCATCATTTGTATAGAGGTCACCATATGTCCAGTTTGTCGCTGGTGTATCTTTAGGTTGTCTCTGAGTTTTACGGATTTTATTTCTTTCATTTCTGAGTGATTAACTTCTGTCCCTAAGTTCCACAAATTTTTTTTTATTGAGTCGTTTTCAAAGCTTTTGTATGAGATCAGACTTTGCTTCAATATCATACCATCTAATTATCGGCCTAAAAACGACATGGTTATTTCACCCATTAAAGAAGTGATAAAATAGATCTTTTAGGACTTAGGAGTCCCACATAGTATTGTAAAACAAAAAGTATAGTCCATGTCTTTGTGTTTGTCAAGGGAGTTCTCTTTCAATGCTAATTTGAAATTAAACTGAAACGTTATTAACTGAAATCAACAGCTGGTTGCGACGAACATATTCTTTTTTAATTATCAAGCTACTGAATTATCATAGAGGATCAGAAAGAAAATTCGCTGGGAAAGAACTCTTGTTAAAGGAGGGATTGACGCATCTTTTAGCGATTAAGTTTTTTGTCGGATTTTTCTGTCAGCTAATCCTCCGTTGGTAAATGAAATGACTAATTTGAAACCGGAATAAAATGTTGAATCTATAGAGAGCAATTATTTTGCAAAAACGAAATTTTTTCCAACTTAAAACGAAGCCGGGTGTCTGTGGCGGTTAAATAATTTTTCCTAATCTTTGACGGGGTATTTTTAACAATTGCTTCGTGCGCCAGTAAGCGGTCATTAATATACGATACAAGCAGGAAGTTTGGAGAGCTTGAAAGATACGCGGGAGTTACTTAACACGCAACTGAGAGTGATCGTAGGTTCATAAATAATAAATGTTGTTTATGTAGGTTTAACAAGGTGTAGTTTTTAACTCGATTGCGTCTCGGGAATTATTCAACAATATTCACTTCATCTTCAGCAAATGATTGCTAAATATTTTTATCAAGTGTTGATAGTTTTTAAGTATCCATTCCTTCATTTTCCTTCTCGGTCAATAGATTATCATATTCAATTTAGCATAGTCATATAACGCTGGTTATCGGAGGAGAATGGCAAATCGCTCAGGGGAATTACGACATGAAGAATTCAGTCACTGCTGTGTACATGAAAGCGTTGGCAGAGAAAATTTAGGCGAACTTTGTTATATAATTTTTCCAGGACAATTATTGTAAATTTTTTCGAGAAAGGAGGAGAACAAATAGAGAATGTAAAAGAAACAGCGAAAAATTGTTCAAAAAAGTAATTTCCTGCTTTCCTTCTGTTTTGTTTCTCGTTTTGTCAGAGAAGAAACAGAGGTAAAAGAGCCACAAAATGTTACTAATGACACTGTTTAAGTCAAATATTTTTAAATAAGTTTGCATCTGTGGCCATGGCTCAACCTTATTCACGCAAATGATATGGACATTTGATTGACACCCAACTCGATTAAACTAGGTTGTATAAACATCGTTCCCATTATTAGCACTGCGGCACGGCGTTCCCTCGCCCCCGGGTCGTGTTGTTCAAAGTCTCAAACTTATTTATGTGCGAAGTAACTCGTACTGAAGCCCTAATAGTGAGTGCCTTCTCGCAGGCTAAATAAAGAGGAATTGTTTGTTGCAACATGAAAAACATAATCTAAAAAATGTCTTTAAATATTTGCCTCTTATTCTTATTTCATACGTGATGTTCATCAGTGACAAGTTAGACACAAAGCAAAGGCTTTTTTGACACAGCAAACGATTTTCAGACGTATTTCAAACGTGTAAACAATAGTCGGGAAGTTTTCATTTGAGATGTCACGTAGGAAAAAGGGTTCCAGAAATTATCGTTGTGCAATTGGCGTGTAAACGAAATATTTGTCTCGTTGCTATCACTGAATTTTGGAGATGTTGTCACTTAAAAACAATGTGTTATCGTTTTTACGAAATTCAAAATAACATTTTAACCTCTTCACTCAGCTGTAAATTTATTTCTTTCTGAGAAGATGGATTTTCAAATAAAATAATAATATTATCATAGATGTCTACGCGTTTGACTCTAGATGCTAATTCAAGCTTAAATTAAACTCTGTCGATTAGACAAACATGCAGATGTGGCGTACAAAAGACTCCCGCATTTAAACTAAGGCTTTTAAGTAGATAAATCCAGAACAAAATGTCACATTATGAATTTCCTGGTCTCCATTTTCTACTTATTTCCATTTCATACCTGAGGCACTTCGAAGGTTTCTGACCTATTTTAAATGACTAAACGCTGGTGAGGAAGTCTCTACGTGAATATCATTAAAGAAGTACAAGGTGTTATTGATCTTGGATGATTGTGGGCTGTTTAGGCGAAATACTGATCACTCGTTGCAATCTTAGGTAACCCACAAGAAAAAAGGAACGAATGCAGAATAATAACTACAACAAATTTCCTTAGAGGTGGAACACAGACGAAAACAATTGAAGAAAAAGGTATACTCTCCCTCTTTAGAGGGTGGGCATTAATCAGTATCAATTTCAAACCTGAGGCATCCCACAGCTGCAAATTTTGGACGCATTTTAAATAATTAAACGCTAGTAAGGAAGTCTTAATGTGTTTATCAAAGGATAATTTTAGTTATCATAGTTCGGTGTTTCCTGTTTAGACGAAATATTTCTCGTTGCAAGAACAGATAACCTCAGTACAAGGAAAAGGAAACGAATATCGAATAATGTCGATAAAAAATTTAAGAGTGGAACACAGACGAAAACATATAAAGAACTGCTATGTTCACCCTCTTTAGTGGGTGGGCTTCAACAAGAATCAGTTTTTTTCGCAGCAGTCAACATTTTCCTCTCCATCACAACATTCCTTGGGAATTCTCTTATTCTTGTTGCCCTTCATAAAGAATCTTCGCTTCATCCGCCGTCCAAACTCTTGTATCGTTGTCTGGCAACAACTGATCTGTTGATTGGTCTTGTTGTTCAGCCTCTCCGTGTAGCTTATTGGATGTCGGTGGTTCACGATCACTGGCGCCTTTGTCATTACGCAGTGGAAGCAGCCTACATCACAGGCGTAGCATTATGTGGAGTTTCTTTGCTGACGATGATGGCAATAAGCGTGGACAGACTTATCGCCCTGTTGTCGGGGCTGAGATACAAAGAGATTGTAACTTTGAAACGCATTTATATCATTATAGCTAGCTTTTGGGTTTTATGTCTTGTCGCCTCTTTATGCACCATTTTCGATCAGCGTATAATCGCTTTGTGTGCCTATATATTGATACCACTTTCACTGCTTATTTCACTCGCCTCGTACACAAAGATATTTCGCACTCTTAGAAATCATCAGGAACAAGTACAAGATCATGTTCAACAACAGCCGAGCCAACCAAGTGCACTGAACATGGCGCGATACAGAAAGGCAGTACACAGTGCACTGTGGGTAGAGTTAGCATTAGTTGTTTGCTATACACCATTCTTTGTAGTGGAAATTGCAGTCAATTATAGTACAACATATTCATCACAATTAGTCATCACAGGGGGAATGACAACTATCCTTGTTTACTTTAACTCGACGTTAAACCCGTTTCTTTACTGCTGGAAGATAAGTGAAGTGAGGCGAACAATGAAGCAGACAATCAGACAAGCACTTTGCTGTCCATGGAGTTAGACCATCCTCGAGTTAAACATGATCGTATAAGTACTTTATTAAGATGACCGATAGGAAACGCTTGTCGCTTAAATTTTTGTTCGAGGTCTGTCGATAATATTTTTTGCTAGTCACGTAAAACAAATAAATAGAAAGCAATGGAGACACCAACTGAAGCTTTTAAAAAATATTTTTCATGCCAACAAACTTTATTTTGATTGCATAAATTATTCATCGAAGGAAAGATGTACGTGCACAAGAGGATATATAATCTACTATAATCTCTTGACTTAAATTATACTCTCATGAATGTTATTATAAGAAAGCGAAAGAAATAACTGATACATCAAGATGTTTCTACATTTGCCTTTAATTGCTATTTCATAACAGAAGCACCCTAAGGTTCGTTGCAAGAACAGAAACCTACAAGAAAAGGGAAACGCCGAAGACAGAATTAGTAGCAGTAGAAGTCACACGAAATCATTTGAAGAACTGCTATGCTTTCCTTCTTTGATGGGTGGGCTTCAACAACAACTATCAATTTGTTTCTTAGCGGTTTATATCTCCATCACAGCATTTGCAGGAAATTCTCTTATCCTTGTTGCCCTTCACAAAAAATCTTGCCTCCATCCGCTGTCCAAGCTCCTGTATCGTTCTCTGGCAACCACTGATCTGTTGGTTGGTATTGTTGCTCAGCCTCTAAATTCTCTATGTTGGATGTCCGTGGTTCAAGACAGTGGAGCCTTTGTCGTTCCGCAAGGGACGCAGGCTACGTCACAAGCTATGTATTGTTTTTAGTGTCTTTGATGACGATGACGGCCATATGCATGGACAGACTTCTTGCCCTGTTGTTGGGGCTGAGATACAAACAAATTGTAACTTTGAAGCGCACGTATATAATTGTAACTACCTTTTGGGTTTTTACTCTTGTCGCCTCTTTATGTGCAATTTTTTATCTCCTTATAATCTTTTTGTACAGCTCCCTAGTTATATCATTTTGCCTGGTAATTTCATTCGCATCGTACACAAATATTTTTTGCACTCTCAGATATCATTAATAAGCACAAGTACGAGATCAACAACAGCCGAGCCAAACGAATGCACTGAACATGGCGCGATTCAGAAAGGCAGTGCACAATGCACTGTGGGTGCAGTTAGCATTAGTTGTTTGTTATGCAGAAGAGTAGTTTAAGAGATGTTTTTAAAGCCGATGTTGAGTGTTTCGAGAAAACTATTTCAACTAAGTTTCCTACAATTAAAAGAAAGCGCCCGACGTTGATATCGACGCCATATTGCCAAAAGAGACGCTCCAGTTTTAGTCTTGAATTTGTTTTGTCATTAGAAAACTATCCGTAAAGCTTATGTGAAGAAATTTTCGGTACTTGTATATTTCACTGAAGGTTACGAAAGTATACGCAATAAAATTGACCATCTCTGTTCATTACAGAATTTTTTACAGATCGATCGATGTAATGAAATTATATTGGCAACGGCGAAAAACAAGTTTGGCATCATTTGTATAGAGGTCACCATATGTCCCGTTTGTCGCTGGTGTATCTTTAGGTTTGTCTCACGAATTTTATTTCCTTCATTTCTGAGCGATTAACTGCTGTCGCCAAGTTCTACAATTTTTTTATTGAGGCGTTTTCAAAGCTTTTGTGTGAGCTCAGACTTTGCTTCAATATTATAGCATCTAATCATTGTTTATTTCACCCATTAAAGAAGTGATAAAATAGATCTTTTTAGACTTGGGAGTCCCATATCGTATTGGCGAGGGAATTCCCTTTCAATTCCAATTTAAATTTAAACTAAAACGTTATTAACTGAAATCAACAGCTGGTTGCGACGAACATGTTCTTGTTTAATTATCAAGGTACTGAATTATCATGGAGGATCAGAAAGAAAATTCCTTAAGAAAGAACTATTGTTAAAGGAGGGATTGACGCATATTTTAGCGATTAAGTCTTTCGTCTGATTTTTCTGTCGGCTAATCCTCCGTTGGTAAATGAAATGTCTAATTTGAAGCCGAAATAAAATGTTGAATTTATGGAGAGTAATTATTTTGCAACATCGACATTTTTTTCCAACTTAAAACGAGGGGGCGTGTCTGTGGTGGTTAACTAATTTTTCCTAATCTTTGACAGGGTATTTTTAACAATTGCTTCGTGCGTCAGTGAACGGTCATTAATATACGATGCACGCAGGAAGTTTGGAGAGCTTGAAAGATACGCGGGGGGGGTTACTTAACACGCAACCAAGAGTGATCGTGGGTGCATAAATAATAAATGTTGTCTATGTAAGTTTAACAAGGTGTAGTTTTTAACTCGATATCGTCACGGGAATTATTCAATAATAATAATATTCACTTCATCTTCGGCAAATAATTGTTAAATATTTTTATCGAGTGTTGATAGTTTTTAAGTATCCATTCGTTCATTTTCCTTCGCGATCAATAGATTATTATGTTCACTTTAGCACAGTCATATAACTCTGGTCATCGGAGGAGAATGGCCAATCGCTCAGGGGAATTACGACATGAAGAATTCAGTCACTGCTGTGTGCATGGAAGCGTTGGCAGAGAAAAATTTAGGCGAACTTTGTTATATAATTTTTTCCAGGACTATCATTTTAAATTTTTTGGTGAAAGAAGGAGAATAAATAGAGAATGTAAAAGAAACAGCGAAAAAATGTTTAAAAAAGTAATTTCCTGCTTTTCTTCTGTTTTGTTTCTCGTTTTGATACCGAGCGCGTAGGGCCATCATGGCTGGTTCAAAACAATGGTTTCTCCTCCTCCTCTATTTTCAGTCAGCTCCCATTTTTCTTATTTTGTTGACCAAAGAGATGAAGAAAGGGAATTACATCAATTTTCTGACGTATTTTAAATGAGTTGACGCTGATGAAGAATTCTCTACGTGTATATGAATATCATTAATTGAAGTATGAGATGTCATTAATCGTGGCTAGATGTGTACTGTTTAGACGACACATTACTCGTTCCAATCTTAGCTGCAAATTTCTGACGCATTTTGAATGATTAAACGCGAGGGAGGAAGTCTTAATGTGTATATTAAAGGAAGGTTTCAGTTAGACGAAATATTTTTTCGTTGCAAGAACAGAGGAAACGAATGCCGAATTATGTCGACAACAAAGTTCAGCAGAGGTGGAACACTGTCAAAAATAATTGAAGAACTGATATGCAGCCCCTCTTTGGTGGGTGGGCTTCAACCAGCATCTTTCGCAACAGTCAACATTCTCCTCTCCATCACAACATTTCTTGGGAATTCTCTTATCCTTGTTGCCCTTCACAAGGAATCTTTCCTTCATCCGCCGTCCAAACTCTTGTATCGTTGTCTGGCAACAACTGATCTGTTGGTTGGTCTTGTTGTCCAGCCTCTCGCTGTTACCTATTGGATGTCCGTGGTTCACGAACATTGGACTCTTTGTCATTACGCAGTGGAAGCAGCCTACATCATAGGCTCAGTATTATGTGGAGTTTCTTTGTTGACGATGGCGGCAATAAGCGTGGACAGACTTCTCGCCCTGCTGTCGGGGCTGAGATACAAAGAGATTGTAACTTTGAAGAGTGTTTATATCATTATAGCTAGTTTTTGGGTTTTATGCCTTGTCGCCTCTTTATGCACTGTTTTCGATCATCAGCGTATAACCGCTTTGTGTACCTACATATTGATACCACTTTTACTGCTTATTTCACTCGCCTCGTACACAAAGATATTTCGCACTCTTAGAAATCATCAGGCACAAGAACAAGATCATGTTCAACAAAAGCCGAGCCAACCAAGGTTATTGAACATGGCGCGATACAGAAAGGCAGTACACAGTGCACTGTGGGTACAGTCAGTATTAGTTGTTTGTTACACACCATACCTTATTGTGAGAATTGTTCTCACTTATAGTACAACATACTCATCACAATTAGGCGTCGCATCGGCAATGACAGTTATCTTAGTTCACTTTAACTCGACTTTAAACCCGTTTCTCTATTGCTGGAAGATTAGTGAAGTGAGACGAGCAATGAAGCAAACAATCAGACAAGCACTTTGCTGTCCATGGAGTTAGACCATCCTCGAGTTATACACGATCGCAGAAGTACTTTTAGTGCAAAGCCGACCGATAGAGAACGCTCGTCGCTTAAATTTCTGCTAGAGGATTTGTCGATATTATTTTTTGCTAGTCACGTAGAAAAATAAAATAAAGGAAAGGTAATGGAAACATAAACCAAAACTTTTAAAAAGTATTTCACATGCTACCAAAATTTACTCTGAATGCATTAATTATTAATTGAAGGAAAGATATACGTGCACAAGAGAATATATAATCTCTTGAAGTAAATTATACTCTTATGAATGTTAGTAGAAGAAAGCGAAAGAAATAATGGCTTTATCCACCTCTTTGGTAGATGAGTTGCATCAACCAACAATTTCTTTCTCTGCGGTGTACATTTTTCTCTCCATCACAGCATTTCCTGGCGCCTCGCTTCTCCTTGCTATAAACAGTTGAAAACTTAATTTTGCTGTGTCATCAGAAAAATATCCATATTGCTTATGAATGTTTTAAAATGTCATTGATACTGATATAATAAAACAAACATTGTGTTATTGAGTGCATGGATTTAAATCAAAACTTTCCTTTTCTTATTGAATTCTTTTCAAAACCTTTAACTTTCCGAGATTAAACGTTATACTCCATCTTCTCCGCTCAGCTAAAGGTGAATTTACGTACCTGAGAAGACGGCGTTCAAAATAATTGTGAAATGTTAATAGTATCAAAGATGTCTGTCTGTACGTTTGACTCTTAAAGCTAATTTGTTCCTATTCTGGCCTCTTTTCTTAATGAATTTTCATAGATAGGGAGCTAATCAAGTGTCCATATCATCTGTGTGAAATCAATACTTCAATCATTATGAGCCTCGACAAACTGAAATTACGAAGATCAAGCTGGCAACTTTGAATGATGTAAGAAAAAATTGGACTCGTGACATCTCCTTATGCATCAAACTATTAAAATGTAAATTAATTCAAATTAATTTAAAAAGAAGCTTGAATCTAAGGGATTTTTTTTCGTATTTTAGTTAAAAAAAACTGATATTACAGATGTCTCTATTTTTCCTTTTATTGCTATTTTATCCGTGAGCCACCCCACAGGTTCCAACTGTCGATCAGCTAAAAAAGGATTGTTTTTCGCCTTGTAAAAAAATGATATCACAGATGTCTCTCTATTTGCCTCTTACTGCTATTTCATACAAGAGGCTTGTCAGTAGGTTACGCACTTTGAATGAGCAAACGCTGACGAGTCTTTATGTGTTTATTGAGGGAAGTTTTAGTCATCGACGCTCAGCTTGTGCTGTTTAAACGAAATATTTCTCGTTGCCAGTTGCCTCAGTACAAGAAAAAGGAGACGAACACAGAACAATGTCGACGACAACGTTCACTAGCGGTGGAACACAGACGAAAACATTTGAAGAACTGCTATGCACCCCATCTTTTGGAGGTGGATTACATCAAAGATTTACTTTTTTCTCAGCAGTGCACATTCTCCTCTCCATCACAGCATTCCTTAAAAATTCTCTCATCCTTGTTGCCCTTCACAAGGAATCTTCCCTCCACCCGCCGTCCAAACTGTTGTATCGTTCTCTGGCAACAACCGATCTGTTGGTTGGTCTTGTTTCCCAGCCACTCTATCCTACTTATTGGATGTCCTTGGTTCAGGAACACTGAAGCCTTTGTCGATACGCATTTGACGCAGCCTACATCACTGTGCGGCGAGGTTTTGATAATTCCTTAGCATACGTCCATTGATTTTCGACCCACTTATAAATTGGTTTGTTCACTTCAGTATTAAGATGTAACCGTTGTGATTAAAGGAGAATTTTGACAATTGCACCAGAGCATCGCAAAATTACCTGCCGTTTACATGAGAGCTTTCTTGACAGAAAAAACTTATATAATCTCACTAACCAGACTATGGAAGAAAGAAAATTAGATCATAGAGTCACTAGGCTAACTTTTCTTCGTTATTGTTTACTATTGTCTTCAATAAAAGGAGGATATTTCAATACAATAATGGGCACTTATATGACAGCTTATCTTGATGTACTACCTGTTTCATTATTTAAAAAGGTGACAAAAAAGGTTCTCCTATCGTATTTTCAAACAGTAATATAGCCGATGTCTATTTTTTTGTCGACGAAATTACCTTTTAGTGCTAATTTGTACTAAAACTGAAATTCTTTGAGATTAAAAACTTGTCGCAGCCTACCCAAACTCTTTAGAATTTTGATCAGCTGCATAAATTGAAAATTTTCTGGATAAACTCCTACTCTGTATTAAAGAATTGGATGAGTTGTTGGTTTGTCCATTAGCAATTTTCCCGTCCAAAAATAAAACAATGGATCTAAAGTTGATATATAAATATATATATATATATAAACTTATTTTCGAAAATGTTGCTAGTTGAAAAAATATTTTAAATAGTCTGTATATGTAAATATATGTTTTTTTCTTTTCTCATCACAGTGTCTCTTTTTGATACGAAAAGAAAGATATATTTATTTGATATATATTTTCAAATTTGAAAGGTTTACAAAACGGGTATTTACATATATGTATATCGTCGAAAGAAACATTATCATGTAAACGAGGCCTGATACAAGTCCGAATCTGTCGTGGCAAGCAGGTGTAGCACGTGGCAGTTTTAGAGAGTTTGAAATGTGGGTCAGGGTTGGTAAAGACGAAGCTTCTCTTAGAACAATTGTAAATTTTTTATCGATTATTGATAAGGTTTGAGCGCCCATCTCTTCGTTTTCCATTTCGATTAATATATTATCCTGTTTACTTCATTATTGGGAACTAATTGTCATCACCAAAGGTGAGTTGTTAATTGCCTAAGAGAATCGCAGGAACAAAAATTTGAATAACTTTTCTTTTACAGTTGCACAAAATAGTTTGCTGGTGTGATAACTTGATCCTGTCACTATTTTGTTTTTAGTTCTCGTCGGATACGAAACGGAGAGAAAAAAAGTTACAAAGTGCAATAAGATATACAGCTAATTTAAAATATTTTGAAACAAGTTTGTATGTGTTGCCGTACATTAATTTTGAATGGTGTTGTAGTCTACGTAGTACATTTGGTGATTGTCACGAATTCAATTTTTCTCCCAGAACAATTGACATCGCCAGCTTGAGCTTCTGCATTTTTAGCTTTCCGTAGCTGATAGTAATTCAAGTCTTAACTTCACACGAAAGGTATGGACCCTTGACTAGCATCCTACTATAATTGAATTTGAGTTTGGTAAAGAGCGACTTTGTTATTTGCCTTTTATTGCTATTTCATAACAGAGGCACCCAAAGGTTTCCGGGAAAAAATATATATTTTTTGACCTAATATGCATTTTAAATGAGTAAGTCTTTATGCGATTGTTAGTTAGGAAGTTAGGCTTCAGTAATCCTTGCTGCCATTTTTCGTTGCAAGAACAGAAACCTACAAGAAAAGGGAAACGCCGAAGACATAACTATGTCGACAAAAAATTTCAGTAGCAGTAGAAGTCACACGAAATCATTTGAAGAACTGCTATGCTCTCCCTCTTCGGTGGTGGGTGGGCTTCAACTTCAACAACAACAATTAATTTGCTTCTCAGCAGTTGACATTCTCCTCTCCATCACAGTATTTGCTGGGAATTCTCCCATTCTTGTTGCCCTTTATAAGGAATCTTCCCTACATCCGCCGTCCAAACACCTGTATTGTAGTTTGGCAACCACTGATCTGTTGGTTGGTCTTGTTGCCCAGCCTCTCTATGGTACATGTTGAATGTCCGTGGTTCAAGAACACCTTTGGAGGAGCCTTTGTCGATACCCAAGGGACGCAACCTACATCACAGGCTCTGTATTGTATTCAGTGTCTTTGATGACGATGACGGCCATAAGCGTGGACAGATTTCTCGCCCTGATGTTGGGGCTGAGATACAAACAAATTGTAACTTTGAAGCGCACGTATATTATTGTAACTACCTTTTGGGCTTTTATTATTGTCGCCTCTTTATGTGCAATATTTAATCGCCGTATAATCTTTTTGTACAGCTGCCTAGTTGTTTAGCCTGGTGTACAGCTGCCTAGTTATTTTGCCTGGTAATATCACTTGCATCGTACACAAAGGTTTTTCGCACTCTCAGATATCACCAAGCACAAGTACGAGATCAACAACACCCGAGCCAAACAAATGCTTTGAACATGGTGCGATTCAGAAAGGCAGTACACAGTGCACTGTGGGTGCAGTTGGCATTAGTTGTTTGTTATGCACCAATGTATACAGTGACAATTGTGATCGCTTATACTAAAAAATATTCATTACTCTAAGTGGTCACATGGAAAGTAGCAGTTATTTTACTTTACTTTAACTCGACGTTAAACCCGTTTCTTTACTGCTACAAGATAAGTGAAGTGAGACAAGTTGTGAAGCTGACAATCAGACAAGCACTTTGCTGTTCATGGACTTAGATCCCTCTTGAGCGGCAATCGTGGTGTAACTTTCAAAACTGATTTACAAAGTCACGGTTATTATTAGAGAATCAATTAAATCATTGCTGAAGGTGTTGTTGATATTTTTAACCTCCATTATATGAAAGACAGTTTATCGAAACTCCGTAACCACACTCTGCAGCAGCACTTATCCTTACACTTTTACGACAACACATAATTAATTTGTTTTATTGTCTTGTCTTTCTAAGTAATATGTAAGTATGGGGTAAAACTTCAAGGAGTAATGACGGAGAACTGTTGGGCGTATTTGTCTCTTGACGGTAAAATAATATTAATTCTTTTTTTTTTCTGTATAAATGCGCATACGCCCTGTAGATAAATACTACACGCTTAACGCCACAACATGAGTACACATTTAATCTATTAGCCAGATAAACGAATATTTACATGTAAAGATGTGTAGATGTGATTCGACTGAATATAAAGGCTGTAATAAAAATATCTTAATACAAATATAACAACAACAACAACAACGACAGGAACATGAAATAGGAACGAACTTATAATTTGTGGCGTAACCAGGTCCGGTAGTAAAAATCTTAAACAAAAGCAACACGGCGCTAGCAAAAACTAACAAAACGACTGACTTAGTTGAAATCAATTAGCA